AGCATAGTTGAGATTGTGCACATTGGTTTGGCGTTGATAGATTACGAGCTAGTGTCCTATTGACATCAATAGCTCATGAGATCATGCCCAATTGTTTGGCATCGATCGATTAATTGCTAGGGTCCGTGTTGACATTGATAGCTGACGAGATCACACCCATTGGTTTGGCGTTGATAGAATACGAGATACTGTTCGGTTGGCACTGATATCTCATTAGATCGTGCCCAGTGGTTTGGCATTGATAGGTTACAAGATTGCAACCGGGTTTAGACATTGATAGCTAAGTGGAACTGAATTCTACCTGGATAGATACAGATCTGAGAACAGTTTATGGAGTAGGGTATATACTACACTACGACATTTAGTTGTAAAGATATATATATATTAGAAAATCAGGGGGGGCATTCATTATTAAGGGGAGTATTCAAAATTTAGAATAGAGCATTCAAAATTTTAGAGGAAGCATAAAACAATTTCAGCAGTATCAGGATCGACCCAAAATGTCAAGTGAAATTAACAACAAAATAAAAGGCTTATAATATTTTGAACATCTATTGTTATAAAATGGGTTTAAAAAATTAAAAAAACTAAATTTACAGAAAAGTGCTTTGTCAAGGCGGCCAACTGAAAAGTGTTTGTTTACAATAGATTTAACAATGTATTTGTAATATTATTATATTTTAGAGGTTACAATAATAACATCCGGTATCAAGCTAAAGCAATATAATATTATTATAGAGCATTCAAAAGGACGGTTTTGTTGTAATTTCTAACATTTATTACTATTATTATTGTTTTAAAACCACAAAACCACAATTAAATGTCTTACCTTTTTTTAAAAAAAATATTTAACTCCTTGTGTTTTCATATTGGTAGTTAATCATGGAAATTATTTCTATCTAAAAAAGTCTTTGCCAAAAACCGAAATTTTCAAATCCCATTATCTTTGCAATCTGGAGATTGAAATATCTAAGCTCTATGACATTGGGTTGAAAAAGTAAATTGAATAGAAATATAAAGGAAGACTTAATTCCTTTAAACAAAAGAAAATCCGCGAATCTTTTTTCTCTCAAAATCAAAAGTTCAGAAAAGCAAAAATGTGCATTCATATTATTTCTCTCTAAATCTAAAATTTTATGAAGATTGAATCGCAGAAGCACAGAAAATTGGCAAAATTGTAATAAGAAAATTCGCAATTTTCAGTTCTTGTCCAATTTTTAAGAAAAAGTTATTTAAATTCTCTAGTTCCTTAATCTTCTTAGTATATTCTAAAGTATTAAATATAAGCTGTTCAGTTGAAACCTTAAGAACCATTGAAAAACAATTTTTCCGTAAAAATTATACCAGAACTGAAAATTGCGAATTTTCTACTTACAATTTTGCAAATTTTCTGAGATTCTTTGATTCAATCTTTTTAAAATTTTAGATTTCAATAGAAACAATTTATTTACACATTTTTGTTTTTCTAAACTTTTGATTTTGAAAGAAAAAAAGGTTCGCGGATTTTGGGCCATTAAAGAATCAAAAAAAAATACAAATTTTCAAAAAATATTTAAAAAAACAGAAGAGTTGCACAAAAAAAGTTACACTTTTGAACCAGGAGCCGCAAATCACACTTTTTTTTACTCACCCTGTATATAATATATTTTCTTTGAGTTGGACCCCTAGCATTGTGGAATATATTCCATTCTTATAAGAATATTTTCAGATTTCTCAAATATCGTCTTTTTATTCATTCATTCTGGGTCCTACTGTATGTAGCTTTTACCAGTTCTTTTAGAATAAAATCTCCAATTTTTTACTTTCTAAAACAATTTTTTATAAAGTGTTTCCAATTTCGTTTTGAAAGTTAGATTAGAAAATGATTTATAGTAAAAAGTCCAAACTGTCAAACTTTACTCATTAGTGTGAAGTCATGCATAGTTTGACAGATGAAAAATATCAGTTTTTGATCATTAATTTTATTTAATAAATCTGTTGTTTTTATATTTTCTCTTTACTGGTGTTTAGTAAAAACTTATTATTACCGCGATTTAATAAAATTGAATAACTACGACTCAGGTCTAAGCTGTCGTAAGGTCTATAATTTACGGTTTGGGCTTTTGGATTTAAGTTGCATCTAATTTTCCACCGAGTTTAGTTTATAAAACCGGTTTATTATTGCATTTGGCGGATTTTCATTGTTGGAATTGGCGCATTCCGGGTTTTAGAGAAGAGCAAAACTCAACACTGAGTCTTATTCTCCACTAAAACCAACCAAGGTTGGTTTTATTTTCATTGAGCCTAACTATGTAAGGCTAAGATCTCGCAGCTGTCATTCACGTGACACAAGTTGTCATCAGAGTTGGGTCCTAGATTGGGTTTTAAAGCCGAGTTTCAGGAATTAAGACCCGAGCCGAAGCTTTTAAATCCCGGGCTCGGGACTGTTTCAAGTGCCCCTCCATGTATAGATTTACAACGGTACCCTAAAAAGCTTTAATGGATCAGATATCAATGTTTAAAACTAATTATTTTTAGTTGTGGTTTCCTCACAATAATGACTGGTGCATTTCTACTGCAGACAAACAATGTTGGAATTAAAAGAATTAAATACTGTTGAAACTAGATCCACGACTATAAAGATACCGTTTTAAATCGGTTATTTCCATTTTTGCACGGAGGGTTACTTGAAATTACACGTAACGTCCCTTTAACCCTATTTACCCTGGGGGGGGGGGGGTAAAACTGACCCCCTTATCGTTTTTTTTGCGATATCTCAAAAAAATTTTGAGCTATAGGAAGCTCAAATTTTCTGACTTTTCTAACAACACATGTCCATCACTTAAGGATAAAAGCTGGGCTTTTATACCTACTGCCTGAGTCCTCAGACATACTGCATAAAGTCCCTATTCTACCTATACCAGGCTAAATCTTGATTTAAACCTAGTTCCAGTCATTGGATTTCAATATTGTATAACACTGTGGAAAGCCCATAACAAAAACAAGCAGATTGCACATTTTGCACAGACACCTTTGAAGGAAATTTTCACATTTATAGTTTTTCTTGAAAACACATTTAGGTTTTGAAAATTTTGAAAATGTTTTTGCACATTTGAATTCGCTTGGTCAAGAGCTTTTCAAAAATTATAATTTGTTGCAATTTTTACAATTGCAATTAATAACTTGATTTCGCAATAAATATTTGGATTTTTTCAAATTTGCCATTTAACTGACAGCTTACAAGAATGTTAGTTAAAGGGTAGGGAGGTGGGAGGGGGAATAAACTTGTAAGGGTATGGAGGGGGGAAGATGTCGAAGCCTGACATGGGATCCATCTTTCACATAAAAAATCAATATTCTGGTCATAGGAAACTATTATGTGAATTATCAAAATTATCAAAATGTAATGCTTTTAACTTCCCCGGATACTAAACGAACACTGAGGCATCTATTCTTGTTTACAAATTCCGCCCAGAAAGAACTGGTTTCAATATGTACGCAGAGCATACTCAACTGCAATTAACTTTCCTTGCATTATAACCTTGCTCACTCGGAATTCTGCTACACAAAACGCGCTAGGTCAATCAAATGCTGGGTACACTATACACGGGCTGGTACGAGTTAACACTGCAACTGTCAATCCTTGTATCGGTTTGTATCATGCAACTTTAAAAATTATTTGAGAGTGGATTTTTATTTTAATTATCGAAAATCAATGGTAAAGTAAAAGCTCTGGAAAAAATTATTATGTTCAGACTAATTTGACAAATAAATTAACTTTTGCTGATGTTAAAAATACAAAATATACAAGCTTAGTATAAGTGTGCATAATCTAGTTCCAGGGTCCCAGCACCTGCAAGTGCTTGAATATATAGTGCACTCCGCCATACAATTGTTAGTATAAGTGTACATAATCTAGTTCCAGGGCCACAGTCCCTGCTTGTTTGTACATATCATGCACTCCACCGTACACTTGAAATCCAAAAGTTTGAACCTGAAAATAAAAGTTCCCAATAATATATCAGGTTTTGGTGGATCCAGGAGCCAGTAGACTACCATGTTATTTACATGCAATTTATCATACTAGAAATTCAAGGCGCTTCGCGCCCTTCTTTCTAGCCTTAGAGGGCGCTTCGCGCCCATCTTCTAAATTAATATAGATTAAAGGGACTTCAAGTGACTCTCCATGCAAAGATGACTATAACCGGTTTACAACGGTACACTTATAAGCTTCTTCTGAGGCTGATCATCAATTATGAATTAATGAATTATATATCCATGTTTTTGTTTATTTCAACTGTTAAATTTTATTTGTGGTTTCCCTGCAAAATAGTTTGCGCATTTTTTTTGAGAAATTTACAGAAAAAAAATTTTCGAGCCAGAAAAACGACATTTTTGATCAGATTTAGGTTTCAAGGGTAACATTGTTAATCGAACATAGCTTTCTGTTCATGGAGAGTTACACAAACTACGCTTTATTGTAATTACATACTTGTATTTTTATATTCTGAATTAACACTTAACTTTTTGGAGAAATCTGCACTTTTTACTTTTTAATTTCATTTTTGACTTTGAACACTTTATGATCTTAACTGATCACTAAATATACGTATACACTGTAGGGGTTTTTTTAAAGGGAGTGACCGGCAATGTATGGTGGTTGAACTGAGTTTCCTCGATGTATAATTACTGAGTTTGAGTTCAAGTGACGTACAAAATCATGAATTTTCAGAATCGTTTTTTAAAGTATTAAATAACGACGATGAAAAATAAAGTAAAAATTATACAGTAAACTGATTAGATGGTCAGGAACATATTTCTCAATTGAAATTTTCAATAAATCAATTTTAGAATCAATTATTTGGTAGATTTCTACAAATTCTTCAAATTTCGTCTTTTTAATAAAAATAAGAGAAAATCTGCAGAAAATCTTTGTGAATAAAGAGAGATTTTAGAAACGAATAATTGAATACGATTACTTATTTTCGATGATAAGAATTAATTTTTATTCTCTCAACCTATTCCTCAACAACTATTTTTTTATTTCTAAAAATACAAAACATACAAGCTAGTATAACTGTACATAATCTAGTTCCAGGGCCCCGGCACCTGCTTGTTTGTACATATCATACACTCCACCGTACACTTGAAATCCAAAAGTTTGAACCTGAAAAGTTATAAAAATTATATTATTATAAAACCTTACTTTTATAAGTCATAGTATACGCTATTTCTTATTGAAAACTTGTACTCCATTACTTTCCTTAATCAAAAATGGATGCTACAGGGTTACCCACAAAATGTGAGACTGTAAAGACGACCTGAAGTTCTTGTAATATGACAATTCCAAGGTTAAAATAAATCATCTTCCTCAAATATAGTATTTGTGTAACCTTTAAATGATTAGACAAAGAAAGAAAACAAGGTAACAGTTGCAGGTAATCATTTAAATAAATTTAGTTCTATCTAGAGTACAGTACAGTGCATTCCAGTTCAGTACAGTCCAGTACAGTACAGGTCAGTACAGTCAAGTCAAGTCCAGAAATATCAGTACAGTACAGTTCAGAAGGTCCCAGTTCGTAAAGTCCAGTACAGTACAGTCCATTGCAGTACAGTCCAGTACAGTAAAGTCCAGTACAGAAAAGTCCAGTACAGAAACGTCCAGTACAGAATATTCCAGTACAGTACAGTCCAGTCCAGTACAGTCCAATACAGTCAAGTACAGTCCAGTACAGTTCAGTACAGTACAGTACAATAAAGTCCGGTAAAGTACAGTCCACTAAAGTACAGTCCAGTACGGTACAGTCCAGTACAGTACAGTTCAGTATACAGGCCAGTACAGTACAGTCCAATACAGTACAGTACAGTAGATTCTTGGGAACATTCTATACCACCTTACTTAGTAAATGTAATTGTTTATTTTTAATATCTCATGCACTTTCTATAATTCATCGTCCAATTTTTAAAATAGAAAATATATAAATACTTACGTCTGGAAATGGAAATCCTTTTTCTCATTTTCTAAAAGATTAAGGAATCGTGATTTAAAAATAAATAAATAATACCTGAGCTATCTCAAGGGGAGGTGCGTCTATTATTAGTGCTCCTCTATAGTATGCCTAAAAGACCAAAATTAGTTCAGATTCTCAAAATATTCTGAGCTCAGATTTGACAACGATTTTTTTGAATTTATGAATTCTTTCTGAACTCAATCAGTATTCTACTAAACGAGAATAAAGAGGTTATTTCAAATAACATCGATCAGGGTCCCAACGGTAACCCTTAAACCTTTGCCTGAGCAAATCTGATAAAGATATCTTTAAGTTTCTATCTGAAAATTTATAAAGTATCTTTGGTGCTTCTCTGTGTGTGATAAACGATAAACATAGAGAAAACGGTCAAAATTGAACACGTTTCCGGATAAAAATGGATAATACAAAGGGACAAATTCTGAACGAAAAATTGTCTTTTTCTCCGACAACAGTTGTCTTTGAAAAGTAAGATCAATACTAATCAATAGCTAATGAGCTATTTAGTTTACCCCGAAATTTCCCAAATAAATTACCTTAAACTGATGAAAAGGAATGGATATATACTCAAAATCCAAATTTTCAGTGTTTAATTCAAATTTGGCTTCATAAGATCCTTTACTGCAATTAATAAGAAAATCATAATAATAATAATAATGCTAATAATAATAATAATAATAATAATAATAATAATAATAATGATAATAATAATAATAATAATAATAATGATAATAATAAGAATAATAATAATAATAATTGTGGCGGATATGAATATCGTCTTCCTGAAGAATTCTAGAAATCCAAGGAGGGAGTTTTTCGATCAGCTGATATATGAAACATGTGTTTAAGATTCAATTATTTTTACTATATAAGTTAAGTTTTTAAATAAAGTTAATCGTTGAGTAACTCTTTTCCTTTAAAGTTGTAGCACGCCAAA